AAACGGGAAACAAAGTCAAAAAATCAACCCTTACATCCATTGTGTCTTTTTTCAAAGTAAACTAAAATCAATGAGTTAAAACAGCAGCATGTCTTTTGTAGATGCATGCAGGAAAAACTGAAAATGGCAGGTCATGCTGAGGGTTACTTTAATCATGTTGGCGTTGACTACTTCCATCCCATTGAAATAAAAAAGAGAATCAAATGGCTTTTCCAGAAAGAAGACTCAGTTCTAGCAAATAAAAAGAACAAATTGAGGATGAAACTCCAACATGCTGCCCCCCTACCTGAAGCCAATCTAAGATTTTCTGAGCCCTCTCACGTACCTTTTCTATCCTTTCTGCTTTTTTGTTTATGTCTTCCTGCTGTGGCCTGATCTGCTTCTTCATGTCCTTCAGCTTGAATTCCAAGATGACCTTCAACTTGTGCAGATCCTGGTTCATAGAATGCAGGCTGGATATGACTGTGTCCTGCGTGAGAATGGGTGGAGGTGGACTGTTTACTCTGTGTTCCCACTACAGTCAGTTCCCCATTTACCCAAGGTTATTTAATTCTGTCTCTTTTTGGTGTACAAAACTAAACTTCTAATGTGAAACGAAAAGCACGGCGGGACGCTGCTCCTCGCTCACCTTTTCCTGGTTGGTCTTTCTATATCTGGAAACCTGTCTCTTCAGAACACCGATATCGGTCTCCAGAGTGCGGATGAACCCCGTCAGAGTCTGGCGCTCCTTCTTCATGGAGATCATGTCATCCAAGTGGTCATCGATCTGCCTCTGGAGACTGCGGATCTGTGTGACCGTCATTAAAGAGACGCTGTAATCTTTCTGGGTAACTGACACCAACAAAAGTAAGCAAAATTTAAAGATAGCTTGAAAATCTTTGGTCACCTTTTGTGTCATATTGCCACTGTTTCCCTTCAGCCTGGTGAAGGCCTCTTTCTCTGACTGAAGTTTCTTCTCATACTTGTCTTTCATGGTGTCAATCTTCTGGTGCTCTTCCTCCGCTGCCTGTCTTATGGTTTCTTCATACTCTCGGATCCTTCGCCCAGCCTCCTCCTGAAACTGTGAATGAAATGAAAAAGGCGAGAATTCAGAGATGTCTCGATGACGCGAGCGGTCCCGAACTTCTGCCGCTTTCCTCCTCGTTCTTTCAGACCTTATTCATTTGTTCAGTCTTCACTTGCAGCTCGGCCTCATATATCTGCGTGACCTCAGCCAGACTCTGGATCCGGTCCTGCTCTGCATGCGTCAACCGTGTCTCGTACTCCTCCTGCATTTCTTTTTGCTTCTGGAGAAGGTCGTCGTACTTTTTGTGCTCCATAGTCAGCTTGGAGTTGTAAAATTTTTCTGTGTGGGATTAAAAATATTTATAAACTTCCCTTTGAGCTCATAAAGAATGCATCGGATAGGCAGTGATGTCGCCCTTGTTGTCCTACCTAGATACGTCAAGTCTTCGCAGTGTTTCACTTCAATTTCTGCAGAATTCTGCTGGGTCTCTTCTTCACACCGCTCTATTTCCGCGCTCAGAACCTACGAATGTAAGAGTTTCAAAGAAGTATTCTTTTGAATCACAAGGATTTTTGGAATCTAGTTATTCCGGTATCGTACTATTACTTTTTTAATCACAATCAGAGATGAAGTTGGATACTTTTCATTGAATGTTTTTACCATTATGTACTTGCAAAACTGTTCATACCTATTGGGCGTTTTCACACTTTTATCACTTTACAACCAGAAAACTCAAAAGCATATTACTAGGCAAAACAACACCAAATACAACATAATTGTAAACAGACTCGGTATCTGTTTTGTTTTTCTATAGTCACATTTTTGTTCAGAAGGGACTCGATTTACGAGAAGTTTTTTCAGGGCTGAATTCAGAGCAAACCTGGGAGAAATATTGTAAAGACTTGAGACTTTGGTTTAGATCTGCTAGAGTGGCAAAGTGCAGCTTCTCCAACAGTTTAGTCAAGGTGCAGACATAAATACAGTTGACATTTTGTGGAAGGACTTCATCTAATCTGAGCTTCAGCTGACTGTCTATAATAGACAATCTGTGATAGATTGTCCGTCTGTCTAATAAGTATTCACTGATTTATCGGCCATCCTATTTATCAGCATACATTTCCTTAATTTTGGGAGATCGGTGATCGTGTGAAGCCGATCTTATCTACCTCAGCAAAGGTCTAAAAATCAACCTCTGTCCTCTTCTGCTCTCCCCTGAGAGGATTGTCTGTTAGCCCCGCCCACCAGGCCATGTCTGCACGTTTGCTGTTAATAGTCACTCCACTGTTGCCAGCTCAGCAACTTTCTTTCTATATTTAGCGACATTTCAGACAAAAAAATTTGGTATCGGGCAAAATCAGAATCAGCAGGTCAGGCTTTTTAAAGATCGGTAATCAGGGATCAGCTAGAGAACTGCAATCGGTGCACTGCTACTCTCTAAAGTAACTAATGTTACATCAAACACTATTAAAAAAGCTCTACAAATGAAATTTAGTTGCTTAGCATTATGTGCTGCTGTAAGCAGAACAACAATCAGTCTAAAATTAAGCTTCCTTGCTATGACCAAGAGTTTTCCCATACTGTTACAGCTGTATATAGAAGCAGATGCACATGTCTGACTGACAGCAGCAGACCTGCTGTGTTCTTTTCAGAGACTTGATTTCCTCCATGAACTTGTTTGACACTTGTTGGAGCTCCTCTTTGTAGTTCATCTCTTTCAGGCGGAGTTGGTACTCATTCTCCATGTGCAGCTCCTTCAGATGCATCTTCAGCTCCAACAAGTTGTGAGCCTAAAACACACACGAGATTTTTAAAAAATATTTCAGCTACATCTCAAACAAAATTTTTATTATCTTCTGTTCTCCTATGAATCAGGATGTTTTGTTTTCCATCTAGAGGTTTTAGGTTTTTAGGGTTTTGGATGTTTGGGAGTACTTGAGCATTTTAGCCAATACTTTCAGTTTTCTAGATTGATGAACCATGTACCTGTTTGAACTCCAAACACACATCCAAACTGGTTTGGGAAGAGGCTAATATTGAGCTTCTGGGATGGATCCGACTTTAAGCATAAGTACTAGATTTAAAAGCCAGGTCAGTGCCAAGACAGTGCCAATCAATTAAAGTAAACTCCACAAATATTTGGCCAAAAATGTGGCCATATCCAGTTAGAATAATGCTAGACGCTAGTTCAGGGTTCCAAAATGTGCATGTTAGAGGTCCAACTTCTCAACAGACCCTTTCCTCCAGGTCCGCCTTTGTAACAAGAATCTCTTCGGTGTGAACAATCTGTCTGTTGCTCCTCAGACTTTGACCCTTTTCATCAATGATTTTGGATATCAACAGGCAGCCATCTTCAGACGCCGTCAGCAGGAACTGATCGTCGTACGTTATCACCATCTGCGGACATTCGTCGGCGGCATTTGTAACACATTACATGACGGATGAAATTACTTCCGTTTAAAAATTTATATTTTTAACTAACTGACATTAGAATCTAGTTTTATTTTTTTTACATTAAAGTTTGAATTAAAATAGTTTTTGTTCCAAAAGCTGAATTATATTGACTGTGATTCTATTTATAAAAGTACTGAAGAGGATGAAAAAGGGGGTGAATACCGTTCACCTCAGTGAAGTTGACCCCCTCAATCCACCTTCTTCAAATCAGATAAGATTGGTTTCAAACGTTGTTTGTGCCTCTGTCACTTTAAAGATATTTAGAAATGTTTCCAGAGGTCATGAAAGGTCAATCAAGCACCACATCTTCTTCAAATTGGACAAAATTGGTGTCAGAAAAAAAAATATGTTTGCTTCTTTGGCTTTGAAGATATTAATTAAAGTTTAAAGGTAATTTTGATTTAGTAAACGTGGGGAGGCTGGATGACATTGAAAGTTTCATTAATATCTTAAAGCAGCACAAATCAAAACATTTTCCACACAAACCAGCACAAATGTAGTTTAGTTTATTGACAAATTTTGTCTGATTTTAAGAAAGTTCAGGAGAGATCTGCCTGACCTTTCATGACCTCTGGAAACATCTCTTACTATCTTTAAAGTGATAGTGGCACAAGTGAACATTTTTGCAGCACAAACGTTTGACGCCAACTGTGTCTGATTTGAAGAAGGTGGAAGGGGGAGGGCAACCTCTCTCAGGGTGTGTTTGGACTCACCTTGGTGACAGGGCCGCAGTGAGCCTGCTGTGTGATCCACTCCTTCTGATCGGGTAAGGGGTATTTAACGGCTCTAACGGTTCCACCAGAGGTACCGGTGAAGACGACCCTACCGGACTGAGACACGGCAAGAGCGGTGTGAGCCACCACATCAGCGGGAACCTCCCTCAGCACCTGTGGAGTCAATTTCCAATTTCAAATCACTTTTATTTCACACTCTCCAAAGTCTGCGTAAAAGAAATCTTGCTGTAGCCGTTCTCCTGGCCTGGCAGTCCTGTATCTCCCTCAGGATGAGGTCCGATCCTACAGCCAGGACGGTCTTGTAGTCCCAGGAGAAAGTCGCGCCAGAGTAGCTGCAGCCCTGGAGCACAGTCTCACACTCCAGCTTCCCGGTGTGGGTGTTCCACTCGTACACAGCGCCATCCGTCCCACAAGACACCAAGCGGCTGTCGTCGAAGCTCCACTCAACGTTCCGCACCTGATCAGCAAGAAAAACCGGCGACTGGATCAATCCCACGTTTTGGCTTTGGATCCGACGGCCAGCCGACGGCATCAACTCACCTTCCCAAAGTGGCCGTTTAGATTGAGAATGTTCTCAAACGAGGTGAAAGAGTAGATGTGAATGACGCTTCCGTCGACGGCCGCAAACCTGTGGCCACCGTGGCTGAAGGCACACTGGAAGGATGAGGAGGAAGCAGGTTGAAACAGGATGCGGACGGGGAGCTGCAGGTTTCAGGGTCACTGTTCGCAGAGCGAGTACAATCACCTCTCTGCAGCCGGGCAGCTCAAACTCTTTAAAGGTAGAGATGTCGTTGATGAACAGGTTCATCAGCCGGAGTTTGTCTGAAAAGCCCACCAGCACAAAGAGGCCCGTGGGGTGCAGAGCCACGCTGAACGCCTCCTGTTGGAACTCTTTGTACAACTCTACCTCTCTTTTGGAGAAACAAAAAGACATTACATGTGGACTGTCTATAATATTTCATATTTGTAGATATATAAATGATAAACCAATTTATCCTTTTATGCACTTCACCATGCACCATGGTTTTCATGTTATATTAGTTAACAGAAGAAACTGATTTTTACTGTTGCATAATAATAATACAGTAAAATACATTAAATTTGTGATTGGAAAATAACAAAATGTAGAAAAGCTTAAAGAATGTGAACTGCTATAAACCCCCACTAGGTTTATTTACTTTTTTTCTTCATCATGAACTGCTGCCATTCTGAACCTGCCTGAAACAATGAGGTCACAAGAAGAAAGGGAAACATTGAACATTGCAGGAAGTCCTACTTCATCTCGTAATTCCAGATCCGTACGGAGCAATCCAAAGAGCTGGTGGCCATGAAGGGCTTACGGATGCAGATGGACAAACCGGTGATGGAGTCAGAGTGGAAGGGCTGGGACAAAAAGTCAAAATGTAGTTGTTCCTCCTGATGGACAGAGCACAGCTTACATCAACTTCAAAAATGTTTAAATCGACACCTTAAATAAGTAAAAAGATAGTAAGACTTCTAAGCTTTTGCAAAATTGGACTTTTGAACTGGAGGACACAAAAGCAGGTCAAAATCATAAAGCTGCAAAGTATGAACTGTTGATCTGTTAGGCTGTGCTAATAGCAGCACCCGCTTCATTTCAGCAGATGAAAGATTAATGCTGTACAGTTGGCCTCGGTCTGTGCTGACAGCCAGCGTCTCCTCTGCAGGACTCATGCATATGGTGTCTATCTCCTGACACTGGGCTGGAGCTGAGCCACTGCTGGCTGGAGCTGGGAGAATCTGGCACAAAACAAAAGAACAAATAAAAATGCGATATCCATAGACCTGGTGAATATTATCCTATATACATGCAGTTACATTCACTCAGTTACTCAGTTACTTGAGTAACTTTTTTGAAAAAAATTGTGCTTTTACTATGCAGTACTTTTTACTTTTACTTGAGTAATTTTATTATGAAGTATCTCTGCTCTTACTTGAGTAAAATTTCTGGATTCTCTACCCACTGAATAAAGAACAAACATGTTTTAACCAAAGATTCACCAGACACAGACACACAGCTGGAGTTTCTGTTAAAGTTTTATAAGTTTTTTTATTGAAAGAAACTGATTGGGAAACATTTTCTTTTGCCTGATTGTTATTTTTGTTACTGATATTAATTAAAACTCCAAAATTTCAACATAACTTCATATTTTGGTTCGTCTGATGATGCAATTTTTAAATATTAAATGACTGACATTTTGATCAGTTACTCAGTACTCAAGTAGACTTTTTTTTTACCAAATACTTTTTATACTCTTACTTGAGTAATTTCTAGGATGGCTCCTTTTTCCTAATATATTGAAGTAATGTGATTCTAAGTTGAACATATTTTGTGAGTACTCTGCCCACCTCTGGCTGTCAGTTATATTAAAATTCACAACTGGAACATTTACCTGTATCTCTCTGCTTTTCCTGTAGACGTCCAGCTCTATCTGTTCAAACAGAGAGACTGTGCCCGGACCGGAGGAGCACACAAAACCCTTGGAGTAGGACAGGATGGCGGTGACGCAACACTTGGCCACGCCTTCCGTCACATTCCCTGCTTTGATTCGTCTCACTTCCAGGTTCCTGTGCAGTGAACCGAAAGCATTACGGGCAAGTTGTGTGCTGTCTCTAAGAATACATTTTAGAGAAATAACAGATTCAATGGCACGAGTTTCTGGCTAAAACCAGAAAAATATGCAGTTTGTTTCAATATCTTAAAATATCTAAATAAAAGCACAATAAACCGATTGCTACTAACGGTGAGGAGGAATGGCGTCTTCCAAATAGTTGGAAAGAAACAATGTCGGTTTCTTTAAGGATACGTTGGAAACCATTCATGCAATCCAAAAAATATATATGCCAACAAATCTGAAAATTTATTTCAAAGATGCTGTTGTTGTATGGATTTCTGCATGAGCTGCTTCATGGTCTTATTGTTTAGTGTGTTTTGGGGGGAAACGTCTGTGTGTTTAACAGCTGATTTTGTTTGTGATCGGCTGATTTAGATTATGAATATGTACAGATTAATGCCCAGCAATAGTTGTTTGCCAGCCACAAAAAAACTCAAGATGAAGAACTGTTTTATACGCCACAGGGTTGTGACAGTGCTGCTCACAGCGAGACAGGATATCTTATCGGTTCACAGGATTTTCTGAATTGATATTTCAATGGAAAAATGAACTGTGAAACATTGATGAATCAATATTTTTACGTAAACTGATTGCCGTGCGGGAAACTTTGCAAAATAGGCCCAGATAACTTTAGAGCTAGCGAGCGTGAGATGCCACAGAGATAGAAGAGGGAATAAAAGAAAAAACATAAATGGTAAAAAAAAAAAAAAAAAAGCTTTTTTTTCTGAAAATATTTACAATCTAAATCATCACAAAGTAAAAAGTATAATTCAAGTCTCCAATCTGACCTCTCAGTCTGGCCCTGTCCAGGTTCAGAGGACATCTTGATCTCCCTCCTCACGTCGCCGGACTCAGACACCAGCAGCCTTCCTGTGTCTGTCCCTGCTATGACTCGGCCTTCTGACACCCAGGTGTGACACAGGATGTTGATTGACTCCACCTTTGCAATGCTGTTCTGTTTCAGGTTGCCTTCTGAGTACCGAAACAGCTTGAACACGCCTTTGCCACTCACACAGACCTGCATGTTGTTGTGAGGACTAAAGCTGATCTGGCAAGACAAAAAAAAGGAAAGAAAAGAAAAGAAAATAGCATCCCAGCACTCAGTGTATGAATGAAGGTGTGACTGGCTCACCTGTGAAATGGGATTATTAGAGTTGGTTGTCTTCACTGTTGCCAAGACTTTGTTTTTCTCCCAACTCCAGAAGATCAACAACCACTCGGGGGCTCCGCTTTGACCAATAAGGTACTTGGAATCAGGAGAGAAAGCCATGCACAAGAACTCTTGAACTAGAAAATCTCCTGCAGTTAGAACTTTTTTCTTCATGCCGTGTTCCTGATGAAGGTCAAACACAGTGATGGAGGCCTCCTCAGCCTTCTCTGACACTGCCAGGTAGCGCTGGTTTGGACTTAGAGCCAAAGCACGTAGGCCAAGGCTTCCCTCTAAACCTGAAGGGGCACACAGAAAACACAAACCAGTAAATAACATTTATTGCACGTGAAGCATAGAGTTTACTTTACAGTTCACTGATTTTACGTGTGTGTAACTACACACACATATCCACCTAATGTATATCCACTTGCCTACAGCCAGATCACTTTAGCAAAGCCAATGACAAGCAAAACACTATCAGTTATCAACTTGACTCCTTGACCAGAATGAATTGATTTTAAATACAAGATAGAGGATAAAGGTGAGACAGTGACTGTGGCCTCACACGCACACACACACGCACACACACACACACGCACACACACACACACACACACACACACACAGGTTAGAGTCGACAGCTGTCTCTATTTACACTGCCAACATATTACCAGAGGTGAGCAGAAGACCAAAGAATTGCACTCTAGTAAGAGTAGCAATACATA